TTATTTAATAAGAGTACATGTTACTCACTTTTCAATATTGATTTTAGTCAGTTTTTGCCATTTAGCATACAAATACGAAACTGAGTAAAAGTTACTTACTCTAGAATAAAATAAAACGAGCGTATTTAGTCATTATTGAGTCCTTTATAGTCATTATTGAGTATTTTGCGTATTACCGTGTAACTATCAAATCTGTTTTCTGATGTTTGCATGCATGGGCGTTGAGACTAACTCAAAACGTAGAAGGATTTCACTTACAATCTTAATCGTTCTGGATCAACAATAGAAAAGGACCCATCAGCATTTGTAAACAAACCGTTCCAAAGCCCATTTCTCACAAATCGAAGGCCGCTTACACAAACCAACACCATCATCGTGTAGGTAGAAGTTTCCCCTATCCTATGATGGTGTTGGTTTGCGTGGGTGGCCTTCGCTTTGTGAGTAAAGAGCATTGGAACGGTTTGTCTCACTAACCAACTGAATTCGCACGAGTCAGCAGTATCTTGTTGAGGATGGTATAGGGTTTTGCACCACCGCTTTAATTTCACTCTTTTCTAACCAAAATATATATTGACAACTGGAGTTAGTGTACACAAAGTGCTTGGCTTAGAAAATCTTTTGTTAATGCATGCATACAGAAAATTTCCTTGTTGTTCACGGATTAGTTTGATAATATCTGTTTCTATAATCCGTAATTTACCGTTCATAAATGAGGAGAGAGGGTTATGTTTATATAGAAAAAGGCCAAACACGTGAACATTCAACGTGACCTTATTCACTCACTTATGAATTGGCGCTAACCAAACCTTCACTACTTTGTAGTAGAGAGTCTAAGCTTTAAAAAGAGCAATTGGTGCTGTGTCCCGGTTTGCCACCTTCTTCCCTATATGCAGCTGAAGTTAAGGAAAAATAAATGTAAAAAGTACTATAACATTGAAAGGAATGATTTTAGCGACATACTGTCTTGAGTAAAAATATGTAAAGGGTGTCCACGATGAAATTGCCACACTATGAAATTGCTCTAACTTTTTAACCGTTGGGTAGAATTTAATGAAAATTTGGGTGGATTTAGTTCATAGTGCATTATTTACATCCTACAAGTTTTAAAGTCCTGTGATCAAAACTCGCGGAAATGGAGTCGAAAGAACAGCTCGTGCGTGATAAAATCTTGCGCATTCATCACGAGAACAAGGATCTCTCGCATCGTTCCATCGCTAAAACGTTGGGAATCGCGAATTCCACGATGTCGCGAGTGATTAAGCGGTTCGAGGAACGGTTGACCACCGATCGGAAGCCCAGAAGTGAAGGAAAAAGTATTCCGTACAACACCAAAAATCACAACCGCGTAGTTGGGGCCTTCAACCGAAATCCGAACGCCTCCGTTAGGGATGTGGCTAAGAAGCTGCACCTAAGCCGAAGTTTTGTCCAGAAGGCCAAAACTAAGGCTGAGCTTCGAACGTTCAAGGTACAAAAGGCCCCTTATCGCGACGAGAAGCAGAACAAGTCCGCCAAAACCCGTGCCAGGAAGTTGTACCTCAACATGCTGACGAAAGTTGAATGCTGCATCATGGACGACGAAACATATGTGAAGGCCGACTTCAAACAGATCCCCGGCAACCTGTTTTTCACGGCCAAGGATAAGTTCAGCGTTCCGGAGCATGTCCGCACTCAGAAGATGTCCAAATTTGCGAAGAAATTCCTGGTTTGGCAAGCCATCTGTACGTGCGGGAAGCGGAGTGCACCCTTCGTGACCCAGGACACGATGAACGGACAGGTGTACATAAAAGAGTGCCTCCAGAAGCGGCTGCTTCCTCTCCTGAAGGCCCACAACGTCCCAACAATCTTCTGGCCGGATTTGGCCTCATGCCACTACTCCAAGGACGTGCTGAAGTGGTATGCGGACAATAAGGTCAATTTCGTGCCGAAAATGTTCAACGCTCCCAACACTCCGGAGCTCCGCCCCATCGAGAAGTACTGAGCGATTATGAAGCAGCACCTTCTTAAACGACCTAAGGTAGTGAAGACAGTCGAGGAACTGAAGAAAGTATGGGTTTACATGCAAAAAACGGTTGATTCACAGGTTGTGCAGAATCTTATGGCCGGGTTTAAGGCCAAGGTGCGGGCATTTGCGTATGGACTGTAGATAAAATACGAGTAAAATGGTAAAATGAAGTTTAATAATTATTTCTCAATCCCTGAAAATTTGATGGCAATCGGATGAAAACTCGAATTTTGCGAATCAATTTTGTGTGTGGCAATTTCATCGTGGACACCCTTTATTTGTATGTTGTTTACATTTTTACAACATTGTTTACTTAAAAAAACTGTTATAAAAAAGTTATACATAAAAAACTGAATTTAATGGGGTTTCCATCAAAAACGCTTCATATCTTCACAAGTATTCGTCATACAAATTTGATGTCTTCAACAAAGTTTCATATTTTTGTAAGTACTACAACTTTGCCTAAAAAATTACCCTTCTATCTCTTTTGCAAAAAAAGTTATTTTTCTTAATTTTTTCCTAGTGTGCCATGATAAATATTGAAAATCGTCATAATATGCGCAATGTTTTTGTAAACAATTCTTTTGAAGACAGTTTTTGGATTAAGTCAACGGTTTGACCACAAAACAATTAAGTTCACCAAATTGGCATTTCCGACCACTGTGCGTTGGTCCCCGGTTCATGAGTTGATGGGTCGATAGGTAGGGTCCAGGTGTGAGAGCTGCCTTCCTGGCACGTCGGTAGCATTGGTGCTCAGTACGGAAAACAAGATCGACGGAAAAAACAAACCAAAGTAAAATAGCAGTGACCGTCATAAATTTTTTTATGTAATATACAAAATGTAATTAATGAAAACAATTTTACTTTTATTTTTGTAATCAGTACTCCATTCTCACCCCTCTGTTGTAATTGAATGATTGTTGGTGACCTTTTTCAACGCTATGATGCGTGAAACAATATTTTTCAATGTTTGGAAAAGTCATAAATGGCTCATATTCATCATAAAGGGTGATACGGTCAAAATTTGGTCAAGGGAAAACGCGTGTAAATCGGTGAAATCGTTTATTTAAAAAATCAAATTAAATTCCTTTTTCAAGTTCAATTAGTATAAAATTCAGGAAAAATATTCAGTTAGGCTTCCGCTTTTCCAAATCCGAATTGCCGGGCCTTACGCTTGACCCCTGCCATCAGATTTTGTACAGCCACCTTGTCCACCTTCTTCGCCGCAGAAAGCCAGTTTGCCTTGAACTGCTGCTCGCCCTTAGCAGTTTTTTTGGTCTTCTTTAGGTTCCGCTTGACAATAGCCCAGCATTTCTCAATTGGGCGGAGCTCTGGCGTGTTGGGAGGGTTCTTGTCCTTGGGAACCAACTGCACGTTGTTGGCGGCGTACCACTCCATCGCCTTTTTACCGTAATGGCAAGATGCCAAATCCGGCCAAAACAGTACGGAACAACCGTGTTTCTTCAGGAAAGGCAGCAGACGTTTATTCAAACACTCTTTCACGTAATTTCTTGGTTGACAGTCCCGCAAGCTATAAAAATGCTGCTTTTCAAGCCACAGGTACAGTTGGCTTGCCAAACCAGATATTTCTTTGCGAACTTTGACAGTTTCATGTGCTTGAAAACATCTGCTACCTTTCCCCTTCCTTTTGCCGTATAAAACTCCTGTCCCGGAAGCTGCTTGTAGTCGGCTTTGACGTAGGTTTCGTCGTCCATTACCACGCAGTCAAACTTCGTCAGCATCGTTGTGTACAGCCTCCGGGATCGCGCTTTGGCCGTCGTATTTTGTTTATCATCGCGATTTGGAGTCACTACCTTCTTGTAAGTCGATAGTCCGGCTCGTTTTTTGGCTCGATGCACGGTTGTAGACGATACACCCAGCTTATTTGCGGCATCTCGGAGAGAGAGGTTAGAGTTTCGCTTGAAACTACCGGCAACTCTCTTTGTCGTCTCAGCGGCTTCCGGTTTTCGATTTCCCCCCGATTCAGACTTCCTGGCTGTCGACAAACGTTTCCCAAACACTTTAATTACATTTGTAACGGTTGATTTGGCAACTTTTAGCGATTTTGCCAACTTTGCGTGCGAGTAGCTCGGATTTTCGCGATGCGCGAGCAAAATTTTGATACGCTGCTCTTCTTGCTTGGACGGCATTTTGACAACTGAAGAGTGAATTCCAAAATCAAAATAGGAGCAACATTCTACACACACACACCTTCAAAATGAGGGGTGTTCTGGTTTTTTAAATGCAAAATTGAAAGAAATACGTCAAGTTGATATTGACCAAATTTTGACCGTATCACCCTTCATGATATATTATCATTGTACTTGCCACAGAATATAGCAAATGTAAAAACGGCACAGGCTTAGTAAGCTCTAAGCTGCTAAAAGAACACTTTGTTGAGAGTCGGCGTTAAGAAAAAGGAGACATGATATAATAAAAGCAATTAGACTGAGAATAAGAATTTGCATGCCTCATGTGAGCCGTATTATAAAATACCAAAGAATTTGCTACACTTCACCTCATTACTTATAAAATTTGCCAATGAGTACTGTTTACATATCTTTACTTTAACTTAGCTCAATAGCATTTCTTGATTGCAATCGAAGCATCCACCCACCAGCACCACTCTGCGCTGTCTGCTGATCCATGCTGGCCGGAGAGGCCAACCGTAAGATATTTTTTTATTATTATTATTATTAGCTGTAACGTAAAAATTAATCTAAACCTATTCCGGTGGCAGATAAAATAAACAGTGTAGGTACTGCTTCGGTAAGTTCACTACACTCTTTGATCACTTACCGTCTGTACTGACTGTGCTGCATCGTAACTCCGGTTGATACCTAATTCACTGTGGATTGTTTTCAACAATCCAAATGACGGTTCAAACACGGTACGGAGCACTTTTTGAACCAGTCCATGCCGCACTGTTTGGTTTGCGCTCATTTTGAAAGGCGTGGGAAATTAAATTAAAATAAAATCTTCGAAACATGTTGTAAATGTATGTACAAACAAATCAACGAACTGGGAGAGAATGCCAATGTGTATAATATAATTGATATTTACGCCATCCGCTTGGGGCTGGAATCGAGCCGTCTCATCCGACGATACAGTGTGTTTACAACAGCAGATATCAAACTTTTCAACGATTTTAGTTTGCATTTTAGTTTTCTATTGCTCAAGGGACAGCACTAAGGAATCTCTAGGAAACAATCAGCCTTGTATTCGCCATTTGATTTGTGATACCCTGAATCGAAATGCATATGAACATATTTCATCGCTCCAGACTACTGGATAACCAAGGATGACCAGACCGCAATAAGTTCAGCTACGCTCACCTCAGTCCGAGGGCTTCGATGCTAAGACAGAGTTCTTTGCCATTCTGAACGGTCCGCTCGGTGGACCGTGTCCGCGTCTTATCGTTCACATCCGAAGTTAGACTCGAAGTGCTATTGCTACTGGTGGTGTGGTTCAGCAGATACGACTGTGGAGAAATGGGGATCTCTTCGATTTTCTCCAAGTCCTGGGCAACGCTGGCCGACTGTTGCTTGTGGATAGTGCGCTGCTGTTTGGTTCCGAGTGATACGGAAGTCGTGGAACTGATGGATGGAATCGACGATAGGGTTCCCATCCGGGCTAGCTGTTCCCGGTCGATCGATATGGAGGAGATTGTGTCCAGTGTGGCTTTTTGGCTGGTATGCATCGATGAAGAAACGTCGTCTTTGTCCAGACTAAACTGTCGCCTTAGGAAGCGCGTTGATCCCGGTTTGCTGGAGCAATCTAATCGATTGATTTGGTATCCGTGAAATCTGTTCTCCGTGCACTGGGACAGATTGCTTTCGCTGGGACTGAGACACTTGTAGTAGTTGTACGGTGAGCTTAGGTCCATCAGTTCTTCGATTCGTTTGATCAACCGAGTCGAGGTCGTGCCTGGTGGAGATGGATTCAGTCGATTGAAGCTGGAGGTCGCACTGAGGAATGTCGTTTCCGATACGATCTCGGACAATTTCCGTGCCTGAGGACTTGGCATGGCCGTTTTCGATTGGAAATCGGTCATATTCAGTGTGTAGTTGTTGGCGTTACTCGAGTTCGAGTCAATCGAAATCGACTGAGCTAGATGCGGGTTGTCGCTTGCTACGGGTGGTGTGATTTCCACCTTCACATCTATCGATTCACCCGTCACCGACGGTGAATGGCTGGATGAATGATTGGCGGTGGAGCCATTGTGGCTACCGGAGGCAATCGTGTACTGTTGTTGATTGTTCTGTTCCGATTGAAAGAGTGATTTTCGAAGTATTGCAATGTCGAGGCTGAAAAAGGCGATTACGTTATTTATATATTAAAATGCAATTGAAATTAAGTGTGGTGGTCAGGAGCTTACCCATGTGATTCCCTGTCAAATGGCAGCATGGAAAAATTTACGATTTCAAATTGTAAAAAAAAATAATCCCAATGGGAAGAATGAACTTTCATTCAATCGGACTTACCCTATTGGCGGTGGTGTCGGAAGCACTTTGTCGAAGCCCTTTTTGCCCAGCAACCAGTAGGTGTGCATTTTGCCTTTCCCCTTTATCTCGATTGGTCCACGTGGTTCAATGATGTAACTGCCGGCCTGCTCCAACAGGTTGCACGTTTGCTGGGACATATGGATGCGCCACGAAGAACCTGTTGGAACAGAACGGATAAAGCGAATAAACATCGATTACGTTTATCATGTTTGAAACGTGAAATGATTTGACGAATGCGTGAGAATGGAGCAAACAATCTTTATTTTAATGATTTATTATAGAAAAGGAGCAATCAATCGTGCAATGGGTGTTTTGGTCAGTTTAATGAAATGATGCATTGATTCGATGTCTATAATTAATTAGATCATTAAAATGGCGTGATCCAGGTTCTATTTCCCTACAAACTCTTGTTGGTTTACGAATAATGAAACTTTACATATATCATAAAGCATTCCCTCCATTATACCATGCTTGAATAATGAACTTTTATCTAGTGGTAGTTTTTTGTGCTGCCATAATCCCACATATCATTTAAAGTTTTTTTTTTCTCGAGTTCAATCAGGATTAATTTAGAATTATGCTATGAATTTCTTTGAGGTTCTGTTGAGAATTTCCGGTTGATTATTTTCAGAATTATGACAAAATGCTTACTGAAACTGTCGACAGGTCTCTACTCAGAATTACTTTGCATACTTTAAAGAAACTCTTTGCAATTATCTTTAGAATTATACTGGTAATTATATGAATTCGCGGAATTATCTTCATATTAATCTTAGAACTATAGCGCTCAAAATCATAAGGGCCTAAGAGCAATTATTGATTTTCTCTTTTGTTAATAACTCAGTTGAATTTGACATGGGTGCGTTTGATGTTGCTTTTGCTAGCTAATACAGCTATTTACTATATTCCATTAGAAAAAATCGGAAAATTAGTTAACTTAACTGTAGTAATACAAAGAGAAAACCGTTGAACAGAATTGATCATCACAGTTAGGCCCTTATGATTCTGAACGCTAGAACTCTACTCTAAAATCAAGTCCGACTCTGGTTATTGCTTTTGTGGTTCAGGGAAAAATTAATACGTTTTTTTGACGAAGGATTACATTTTTCGGCAACATATTGGGGGTGCAATTTCAAAAAACGAAAATCGACCGCGTAGCGAACAGTGATCAGGTTTTGAACACTTATAACTCTGTCAATAGCGAATGGATTTTAATTCTAAATAAGCCAATCGATATGAATGTCATCTACAAATCTGCTAAAAAAACACTTTATCAATTTTCAACAGGTCGCTATTGGAAATAACACAAAATTCCAACTGTTGCAGCGGAGATCAAAATTATCACCGATTGCCTGCAAAAAGCACTTTCCCCAACACAGATTTCAAAATCGAATTCCATCCGGTCTCGACGAACGGTGCTTATTCAATCACCGTGTGTGGTGGTGTCCGGTCGGTCGTCATCAGCAACAGCAGCAGCAGCAGCAGCAATGCTTTTGACGCGTGGCGTTGAACATCGTTTTCCAGTACACAACGAAAGGATGCCCGCAAGCAACGAGCTACAGTGAACGTCCATTCACCGAAGAAAGAGGAAGAAACCGCACCGCTACTGATTAGATTCCGCTGTGAGCCATCTATGTCAAGCACATCACCCTCGTTTCAAACAACATACAGCTCGCCAGCCTCATTCGTGTTGAACACCTTAATAGCTCAGCAATACTCAACCATAACGACAAAACGGTTATTCTCAGGACCACCTGTTGTTTAAGAATAAAATTTCATGTATCCAGCAATTAAACGTTTGTGGTCAAATGCGCTAAAGTATTGAAGTGGTACATAAAAATTCTCGCAATGACCGAATACCACATGACCTTGTCAACTAACCAGAAACACTTCGAATTAAGGTAAGGTTTTCTCCAGGACGCTGGAAAAAAGCAAACAAATCTCGAATTTATATGATTGATCGCGAATATCTTGCGATTGCAAAATTTTAGCAAGAAATTTCTCCAATGAATTTTTGATTTTTTACTATAATCTATTAAATTAACCAAAAATACGGTGCATTTTGTGCAAGAAAATGCATAGTTTTGTCATCAGAAAACGTTATGGGGAAAAGTGGTTTCCCTAGCACAGTCACCGAATATTCATTCCAAGCACGTAATCCTAAGTCAAATCAACGGTCGTGTCTTGGATACAACTTCTTACTTTTTTATGGTGGAATAAAACTACTTCGTCCATGGTTTAGAACTTTTGAACAGGAGGGTCTCCTGTCTCCATGAAACCGCAGAGATTGGTCATTTACAAAAAACTGTAAATCCCCTTTTTTTTGATCATGCATGGCTCTCAACTTGTTACTTCTAATACGTTCATCAGCATCTTCCATCCAATAATTCCCAACAGTATCCAAATGTCAGTCTAGGATCTTAATGCTGGTTGCAGTTGTTTGATGACTAACTGCTCATTGTATCTGCTTGTTGTTCCTTCATATTTAGTATCCTTGGTTGGTCATGCCGGAATCGCATATTAATCGCCCTGAAACTGCTGGTGGTTCCGATTGCGTTCAAGAAAACCGTGCATCAGATTGTCTCCGTTACCTCCTGTGTGGTTACCTTAACAATTATGTTAGCAGCATCTTTCTTAATATTCCTGTTGCCGTCAGCGAAGCCAATTGCCAATGAGTGTAGAGAGACTGCGAACCAGTAATATGGGATTCACTGACTCCATCAGCTTCCACAGTCATCGTTCCTCACTGGACTGTAGTTGATATCGTACATTAGTGCTGCAATCGGAACTGCATGCTGCAATGATCCTTATCCATACAATTGGCTCTTGGTCCGGATCCTATGGCCATCTGGGGGTAACACGTATTCTGGCCTATTTTACGTGACGTGGTGACTCTGACTTTTGGACGTTTGGACTTCCCCAAAAACAATTTTTGACGTAGGACTACGTCTATGATTTCTATATGGGGGTACACTTTGTGAAAACCGAAAATGGAACATGTAACAAAAAAATGAAAGATTTTGAACGTTAATAACTCAGCTGCCCCATGACTAATTTCAATAATTGTATCACCAATCGATCAGATATATTTCTACACATCTGTTAAATTTAAGACTTAATTTTTTTTAAATGTCACTATTGAAAATTGCACGAATGAGCAACTGTTGCTTTGAAAATTATCACTGATTGCCTGCAAAAAGCGATTTCCCTAACACAGATTTCAAAGTTGAATTGTATCCACTCTCACCAAACGGTGTTTATTCACTCACCGCATGGTGAGCGGTGGTGTTCTCCAGTACACAACGAAAGGTTGCCTGCACACAGCGAGCTGCAGACCACATGACCATCCACAGAAGGAGGAAGAAGCCGCACAGCTATTGATCGGAATCAGTAGCTCTTCGTGAGTCGCTGTGGGCCATCTATGTCAGTGCGTGATACTAAAGAGTGTAAACAGAGAGAACCCCGCTCAAATTCCTATTTCTTCACAAAACACAAGCTTCTGCTGCAGTTAACAAATAAGATTTATTGTAAGACCACGTAGTCCTATGTCACCATTGCTTACAACCACATAGGGCTGTCCCTTGTAGTTTTTTTTTTCAAAAGCCGTGTGGACTTTCTGTAGAGATTCATCCCGTTAAAAGCAAAAGGACACGGAGAATCTCGTCAATTATACAATCTCCGATTACCATTGAAGACCATTTCGCTGAAAAATCGACAAAAATATAAAAATGGCACTGACAAAAACATTTTCTTTTCCCCCTTACTTTGAAGTAAACAAAGTAGTAAACCTTAGCAACGATTGGCAAAATGTCAACAGAAAAAAGTGATGTCGTTTTATATTATATTTTGTGTCATACTTGTCATTGTGTGCCGGTGTGCAGAGGTTGATTACCCCTTCTCCTCAAAAAACACAACAGGGTACTTTAAAACTTTATTTTTCGGAATCGGTTCCTCTCGACTAGGACACATTTTTAAAGCTTTTTGCCTGAATCACGAGCACTACAACTAGACCTGTGCGCCGCCGCGCTACGCCGCCGCCACCGATACTTTTTCACACGCTGCCGCTGCTGAAGTTTTTGACTCGATGTGCCGCCGTGATGAATTTTGATACGCCGCCTTTAACATTTTTGAAAATATAAATATCTGTTATGTACTTTTAAATTTTAGAAGACTGCTTTTTGCAAAACACTGCACAGAACTATACAAAAAGGATCAAATTAATTTTTACTATTGACCAGATTTTATGAATCGTCAGCTGGTTCCGGAGATGCAAACAGAACATGTTCAGGTTAGTATGTATCAAAAGACTATAATATATCACGTGAGAATACAAATACAAAATCCCTGGTATCCCTGAGCAAGTGTTCAGACTCCCTAAATAATATTGTAGTAAATTCATAAATTGAATTTGGCGTTCGATGGCTGTTAATTAAATCCAATTCAGGAATATTAGTTATAATTATTGTAAAAATCACTAGTTCCGATAGTGTTCCAAAACGTTACAACGATGTTTTCGGCATCAATTTTTATATCTGTGTTATCTTTAACAAGTCACATATAAAGTTATACAATACTCTGGTATGAATTGAAGTTTAACATGTGACAGCCACCTTCAAACTAGCGCAATTTATTCGCAGCGGCAGCGGTAGCGAATGAATGGAGTTTACCGCGGCAGCGAAATTCGCACAGGTACCTCTAATATATCTGTTAACGAAACAACCATTGTATTTCCGGTTTGGCTAGTTGAGGTCTTATCAGTATATAGTGAGGTTAAAAATGACCGGAGAAGGTAAAGGTGACGTGGCTGGAGCGTCTGGTACAAACAGAGTATCGATGAATTTCGGATCGTTTGAAAATTACGTAACGGGTGACGACTTTGAGGTGTATGAGGAAAAGATGATTCAACACTTTCCTCTACATGATGTCCCGGAAGATAGAAAAGTGGCGTTCCTTTTGACGCATTTAGCAATGGACACTTATGCCATTCTAAAGAAACTCTTGCAACCAGTGAATCCTAGTGATTTAGTGAAGTCACTGAAAAAACACTTCAGGCTAGATGTGAATAAGATTTCCGAGCGCTACCATTTTCATCAGGCAGATTAAAAAGTGGGTCAATCAGTTGCAGAATGTGTAGTGGAGCTTAAAGCTCTCGCGGAA